GGTGGGAGCGGGCGTGGAGTTGGCTGGGACCGGCTGCAGTGTCCGGCCGGGAAAACGGGCTCCCCTGGGTGCGTGTGTTCTCCTTGCGTGCCTGCACCACGGAGCAGGGCGAGCTGCGTGTGCTGCAGTGAGGCCCTGCCATGACTCTGCAGCTTTCCCAGGGAAAAGCTGTTTGGCTCCGCGTTATTCCAGCATATCCTTCTGTTTAGCTCCCCACTGGATGTCGTGAGGAGAAAAGCCCAAAGTATCCCTAAGGATTTGGGTTTAAGAGGTGAAATAAGCAGTAAATCCCTTGCCAGGTTTCAGTTCCGTGTCTGTGTTGCGAGGAGTGGGTAGTACCTTTCCTGCCAGCAGGAAAAGCTGGAATGCAGGAATTCACTGGCTTTCCTCCTCATTTGACTTGCATGTATGTAGTGCAGGGGGTGAGTGTTCTCACACTAAAATGGCTCTAAATCTCCTCCTAAAAATGGAATGGGAATAGAAAAGTGTGTCTGATTTTTCCCTGGCTTTCCTGTTTATTATCCCGTGTTCCTTTCCAGGCCAGGTTGGATGGGGCTTGGAGCAACTAAAGTGATTCCAGAGGGGAATGAGGGAATTGGTTTAGGCTGCTTTATGTGCAGTGCATCCTCCCACTGCTCCCAAGTGTTTATGACCTTTCACATGGCTCCTCTCTTCCACAGGAGCAGTTTGGGGCAAGCAGGATGTATTCCATTACAGAGCAGGATAAAATCCTCTGGGAAGCCCAAGCTCATGTCCAATAGGGAAGGATTTCATCTGGGAGCCTCATTCCACATGCTTTTGGCTACTACGGCACGTAACACAATAGGCCACGAAGCGTGTGTGTGCTGTGGCCCAGAACAAACGCTCCCATTGTTTGGAATCTGGGAGCTGGAGTGCTGGGAACCACTTCCAAACTCTCATGTGTCACACAAGTGTTGGAGAGAGCTGACAAAGGCCTCTTTGTGCTGATGGGGATACAAAGAGCTCTAACAAACTGCTGTGGGTTTGTTTAGGGAACAGGCAGCAATGGCAACTCTCAGCTCGGGGCTCTCTCAGCTCAGCTTTTCATTCCCTTCCTTAGGAATGTTGTCCTGGAAAGATTTGGGCTCGAAGAGGTCAGCTGGGATGGAAAGCAAAGGAGCACCCTGGCAGAAATGGGGTTCCTGTGGAACTCGGAGAGTCCCACACTGGTTTGGGTCGAAGGGACCTTAAAGCTTGTCCAATTCCAACAGGGACACCTCCCACTATCCCAGGATGCTCCAAGCCCTGTCCAAGTCCAGCCTGTACAGTGCTGTGAGTTGTGTCCCATGACCATGTTTGTGTTCTACTTAAGAAGAGCCTCTAAATAAGTTTTCCTGCTCTTAAAACTACTTCTACTCCCCAACCTGTGAGTAAAAGCCACAGACTGAGCTATGGGAGGTGCAGTAGTGAAGTGAAATCCCAATTATTCCAATATTCCCGTTGTTAAGTCAAATTGAGAATTACTATCAAAGGGAAGTTACTTCCGTGTCCTTTTGCACATGTTCTGACCAGGTCCTTCCAGGGCCACCTTCCACAGGGAAGAACTTCCTCCTAAGATCCCAGCTCAATCTCCCCTCGTACTCTGGAGCTCCCACCTCCTGCTCAGGCTTATTCCATCCCTTATTCCCCTTGTTCTGTTGAATATCCAAGGAAAAGTGGATTCTCCCTTCTCAGAGGCTGTTCTAAAGCAGGACTCCTAATAATAGTAGGTACTCACGCTCCCTGTACGTCACACATAGAACCTCTTATAGTGGTGTTCGGGTCAGAGCCAGGCTCCCGTGTGTCACCCTTTGAATTCCAGTGGGATTTCAATAGGAGCCATTTTATCCCAATGAATGGCCTCAAGCCTGAGCTGTCTCTTCCCTGGCATTGTCCCGAGGCCTTTTGGATGTTATCCATGTTCCAGGAACACGTCACATCTTGGCAGAGGTGCCCAGTGGGTGTTTCAATAACCAGGGGCAAAGGAGAAGTGCTTAAGAACTGAGTGATTTATCCTTATGGATTGGGCCTGGCTTAATCCATGTAAGTAAGGATTTAATCCATGGAACCATGGTTTGGGTTGGAAAGGCCCTTAAAGCTCATCCACTACCACTAGAGCAGGTTGCTCCGAGCTGGCCTTGAACACAGCCAGGGCTGGGGCAGCCCCAGCTTCTCCATCCAACCTGTCCCAGTGTCCCACCACCCTCCCAGGGAAGAACTTCATCCAGTTCAATGGTGTTTGAGTTGGTGCTGCCCATCTGGCACTTGTGACTTCTCCTGAAGTCAAACCATGGCAGGTTTGGAGCTTCCAGAAGAGAGGAGACCACAGTATGGGCTTCTTTAGGCTACAAGGGGCTAATAGTCCATGTCTACCATGCAGAAGGCAGCGAGGGCTGGGAAGTCTTGTTGCAGTTGATAAGAAGAATGGAAGTTGCCAACTAAGCCATTACTCCTCTCATCAAGTGCTACAGGAACAGGCTGCAGTTGTCACTGAGGCTTTCCCCCTGGGAATGAGGGCAGGGAGGTGCCATGAGGAGCAGGACCACGTCTGTGGTGGCTCTCTGATACTGCAAGTTAGGCAGAAGCAGTTAAGGTGGAGGTGATGCACTGAAGGGATTCCTGCAGGATTCCTGCTTGGCTCCAAGGTTCCCAGATGTGTTACAGGCACGTGGTGTACTCGCAGCATCTCTCCTCCCAGGATCCATCCGGTCCCTCAGGCTCGGTGCAGGTGCGCTCTGTTGTTCCATGGGGATACACGTGCCTGTGCTTTGGGAATCACTTGTTGGCCTGGGAGCAGCAGGATGTGCTTCCTGGCATTCCGTGCACGCAGGGCTATAAATAGGCAGCAGGTTCTTTGGGAGTCCCTGGGCTCCTCTCTGGTGTCATCCACGGGGACTCTGCTCCTGACACACACTTGGCTTTGGGCTGCTTCAGGTCCACACTGAAGGAGCAGATGGGGCCTGGGCCACCTTCTGCCTGGGTCGTGCTTCTGGGCAGGTCACAGCCACGTTGTCTGAAGTGGTAAGAACCTCTCCATGCGGTGCCTGGCTCTGTGTGTGCCGCTGGTGGAGGGAACTCCATAGTGGAAGTGAGCAGACATCAGCTGGTGAGAAGATTGCTGGGAGCTCTTCCTCTGTAGGCTCTGTTGAGCTGCCAAGTGGGTGGTGACAGTGCTCACGTTCCTCTCAAGCTTCATCCATGGTTTGTCCACCTCTGCTGATCTCTCATGTTCCTTTTCGTCTCTAAGTGATGGCCAGAAGGTATCTGGTGTGGCCTCTTACGCTCTTCAAGGTGGTAGGAAGGCATGGGTGATGAGGCCACCACATGCACCTTCGAGCTCAGGTAGATCTTTGAACTTCTAGACCTTAAGGGCTCTCTTTATCCTACCATCTCCATGGTTGTACAACGGGTATGGACTATACTTGTTGGAGTTATGGATGGACCGGCTCCTGCAGTCACCTTCTCAGTGGTTGCCACCATGGAGGTGGTTCTCTCCGAGAAGGTGATGACCAACCCGATGGGGAAGAACATGAAGAGAAGTGGTGTTCAGCACTTCCCCAGGGACATGAATGTGGGTGGTGCTAATCTAATGGTGCTCTCCCACCTTGACTTCTGCTTCCTTGGAGCCGGACTGATGTTCGTCTCTAGTGTCTCATGACTCCTTTGTGTCTTCTTTGACAGACCAGAGACGACTTCCTGGGTCAGGTGGATGTGCCCCTCAGTCACCTCCCGGTAAGCGCTGCCCTCGTCTCCACGTGTTCCTTCTGCTCATCTCCACATGTGAAACCCTCATCTTATATCCAGTTTCCCATAAGAAGCCCAGTTATATTTTCCTAAAGCATTCCCAGCATTTGACTAGAGCTTAAAGAGGAATAGCCTGGACAGCAAAGTCCCACCATGGGCAGGGAGCAGGAGAGATGGGATGCCCTTGGATGAAGGATGGTTGGTTGATCTGAGGGTGGTAATATCTTCTCTCTTGGCTTTTGTGTCTTAAGCAATGGGGAGATTCCAAGCGAGAAGCTTGTCCTGTAGCTCTCGAAAGCTCCAGTTATCCTGGCAGCTGGAATTGGGCATGGTCTTCACCCAGCGTCAGCCTGGATTCATCGGGATGGGCTTCTCCTCTTTTAATACTCTGTAGGCTTTCAAGAGAGGGTTGGTTTCTGCAGGGACATCATGGGCTGCTTCCATAGTTGGGTGTTAACCTCTGCTGGTGACACTGGTAGAGGTCTGCCCATTGCGACACTGTTGCTTGAACATCTCCAGCATTCCTAACATACCTGTGGTGTGAATGTTCTTCGGGTGTCTCCATCCTTTAATGTCTTATCTACTTCCAGACTGAAGACCCCACCATGGAAAGACCATACACCTTTAAGGACTTCCTGCTCAGACCAAGAAGGTGAGTGAGGGGGAGAACTTTGTGTTCTAAACCATGTCTTACGTTGAGGGTGGCTCTTTGCCACCATGTGTAAGGGCTGGTGGTGAGATGCACCCCCTTGTCTCCTAGCCACAAGTCTCGTGTAAAGGGCTTCTTGAGGCTGAAGATGGCTTACATGCCTAAGAATGGTGCCCAGGAGGAGGAGAACAGTGATCAAAGGGATGACTCTGAGGTAAGGTTTCGTGCTGTGGAAGCACCTCAGTTACCAGAGGTTGAAGGAGAACTGTAGCAGAAGAGTTTGTCCTGTTTCTGTGGGGGTTATATTGAGACGTGTGTGAACTTCTCCTTGGAGAACGTTCAGAATGTGCATCTCTCCACTCATGGAAGCAGCAGAGGCATCGTTTAACTTCATGTTGACTTCTTGCTTTTCCTTCATTCCCAAGCACGGATGGGATGTGGTTGATTCCAGTGACTCCGCTTCTCAACGCCAGGAGGAGTTACCGCCTCCTCCACTGCCTCCAGGGTGGGAAGAGAAGGTGGACAACCTGGGCAGGACTTACTACGTCAACCATAACAACAGGACTACTCAGTGGCATCGACCAAGCTTGATGTAAGTGGGGAAAGTCTGGCTTGGAATTCTGTGGAGCACTTTTAAAGACCCACTCTTCAGGAGCAGATGGATCATGGTTGTGGTGCTGGGCTGTGCGTCTGAAAGTAGACTTCCTTCGTGGGAGAACTTCCACATGCGCTGGTTCTGGAGAGCCAGAGTCTGCATAGCTTCAGTGAACAATGGAAGAGGCTTCTCCACCCCCAGGAAATCCTATTTAAACCTGGGTATTCCTTTAACATGTGCTGGGACATCCAGTCTAGGTCATGCTTTGCCTTAGAAAGGCTGGACCAGATGATCCTTGAGGTCCCTTCCACCTGGGATTCTGGGATTCCATGGCATTTGTGAGGTGTTTCCAGTTCTTTGAATTGAGGGTTTAAAGTCTCCTGGTTAGGAAGCCTTATGTGGTTGGATGGGGAAGCCAGGTTGGATGGGTCCTGGAGCAATCTACTCTAATGGAAGGTGGCCCTGGTTGGAACTAGATGACCTTAAGTCCTTTCCAGCCCAACCCATTCCATGATTCCCTGATTTCTATCATTGCTGGGGTTTGGAAAGCAACAAAGTAGATGGTTTGGTTGAACCTTCATTGTCTCCTTCTCCTTTCCTCCTTCCCATGCCTCCGTGTCCCCCATACAGTGACGTGGGCTCCGAGTCAGACAACAACATCAGGCAGATCAACCAGGAGGCTGCCCATCGGAGGTTCCGCTCTCGGAGGCACATCAGTGAGGACCTGGAACCAGAACCCATGGAGAGTGGAGACATTCCTGAGGTAGCGAAAGGTCGGGGTTTAAGACCTAAACTTCAAGCTGATGTTTCACATTCATGAGTGAATTACTGTAGTAGTAATATATGGAATAGTTACACATAGTAATATGTGTAGGAGTTACCTCTAGTAACCCTTCCAGTGTTCTGCTTTGAGTAGCAGTGGAGTAAGTCACATAAAGAAGGGGAACACACTGGCTGGAGCTGCCATGTACTTCAGTTCTCTTCAGTGCCTTGATGCAGAGGAGGGAGAAGCTGTTGGGTTTATCCCAACTGAAAACTAACAGTTGTTTCTTCCAAGCTTTTAGTCAGAATTAGTGACACTTTGAGCAGAATTCCTAATGGGATCGATGTAACGAGAGCCCTTTCTCCTGCATCTCTCCATCCCCATCGTTCTCTGTTTGGAATCGTACAGCGTTGTGTCCTCCTCAGCGTGAAGACTGTTTGGAGTCCACACAAACCCCATTGCTCCCTGTGACTGCTTCTCACCGAGTAGAGTGTTTGTTTGTGTGTTGTAGGGATGGGCTTAGTTCGTTCCTACCTCTGGCACAAGGAGGTGCTCACGTAGAAGCAAAGGGGAAGGAGAACTCACTCTGTCATGATAAAGCCTTAACGGAGTTTCTTCTCTTTTGGTAGCCTTGGGAAACCATTTCAGAGGAGGCAAGTGCAAGTGGAGATTCCCTAAGCTTGTCATTGCCACCTCCTCCTGCATCTCCAGTGTCCCGTCCCAGTCCTCAGGAGCTATCTGAGGAACTGAGCAGAAGACTGCAGGTCACTCCTGATTCCAATGGGGAACAACTCAGTTCTTTGATTGTACGTGCCAAGCTGCTCTTTCTACCTAAACCTCTCATCTGCTGTTAGCTGGAAGCATGGGAAGCACACAGACGTGGGTGGGAATTCCTGCTCTCAGGAAAACCTGAGCGTACACTTACAATGATCTAGCACCACAGAGCAAATGCCTTGAGCAACAGAAGGGGGTCAGTTTAATGTGTTGTTCTGTGTGAGTTTCACCTCAGACTCTGCTACTGTTACACCTTTAGTAAAGCAAAGTATGTGTTAATGGAGGGTATCAAGCTCAGAATTCCCAAAGGAAAGAGGGAAATCTGCTACTGCCCTTCGCCATTTCATACATGATCACCTTTAAGTTCAGTATTTAACTGGACACGTCTGTGTTGAAGCATGTGCTTCCTTATAGTAGGAGCTTATAAACTCCTCAGATGTAAGAGTAACAAAGGGTTAGAGCTGGAAGGAAATAGTAGTTGGAAGAAGACATTAAGTGGCAACATCCCAGAGGCTTCTGAGATCAGCTCCATGGCTAAGCGTGGAGGAAACATGGATCCAGGATTCTTCCCAAGCCCACCAGCTCTAAATTGGCTGTACACAGTGAGCTGAAACTAGAAGCCCCTCAGCTGGCTTTCCCCATCCAGCCTTGTTTTACACTGAGACAGCTCCAGGGGCCCTCCATCCATCCATAGCTAATCTACACCCCCCCGAAATTGCCAGCAGGTAGTAGAGGAGTGATTGTATGTGTGTTGAAGTGTTTTGTCACTCTCCTCATGTATCTATGTAACACCAGACAACACTTCAGACTTGCTGGTCAGTATGTTTGTCAGCCAAACCCTTTCCCATTAGCCTTTAGCAGGACAGCAGCAAGGGGTAGTTGCATCTCTGTTGTATTTACTTGTTTTAGGCACTGATCTCTAGCAGAATGTGCTCTTGGCACTGATGTCCTCACCTAAGAGGTGGGGTTTGGCACTCAAATAGTTGCCTCGTGGTGTTGCTGTTATCTTGCAGGAGATAAGAGCACCCATGTGAGAGGTATAAATAGGCTGGGTCATTTCCCTGTTTATCTGTGCAATCACACTCCACCCATGAAGATGCTCTGATTAAAGATGAGCTATCACTTCTGCGAGATAATACACTTCAGAACAAGCTCTTAGGGTATTTAGTACTGTTACATTGACGTATTTCTTACGTTGGACTACACCTTGTAGTAGGTGTTCATTCTATAGGTCGCTAGCTGACGTAGGCAGAACATTCACCACTGCTTTCTGATAACAGGAAGGAGAAATCACATCTTTGCTCTATCACAACGAGTTCATGTTGCCATTTCTCCCTTAGGGAGATAAATGAACCCTGTTTTTAACAATACATATAAAGGGTCACTCTCAGCAGAGCAATGGTACTTGTCACTACCTGGTACAATAGGAGTAGATACTAATAGTTTACAAGAGATCTTATTACAAAGAGGTTTGTACCTGTAAAACAGAAGGAATGTGAGTAGTAACTGGGTGTATTTTTATGCCCTGTTTTCTTCTTTTGGTATTATTTATATTCCATTTATAGGTGCCCTGTTGGTCCTTACAACATGGAGTTCTCCCTCTAGCAGTTAGCTGGAATCCAAAGCTCCATGGCATTGCAGTGTCCCATTATGTCTTTAGTTAACCCTCCCCTTGCCTGCTCATTCCACAACTTAATTTCCCTGCCTTTTCCCACATGGGGTGGCCTGTAGCACATAGAACAGGTTGTAACTTGGGTGCTAAAGCTGAGTACAAGA